GGCTGGTGACATTCAGCTGCAGCGAGACCCCTGAAGGGAGCTGAAAAGTCTCCTGGGGCTTTTTTTTAAAACAGAATTTTGGCAGCTCCACCAACTCACTCTGTGCCCCAGACTCCTAAGCTCCGACCTCACTGTCCTGTGACTTCCCAAGGGCTCCTGGGGCGGGGGGGTAGGGTGGGAGTGGGGTGGGGGGTGGGGTATATGATCAGCGCCAAAGAACGGGGACCCAGGCGCCTCCCCCTCTCACATCCCAGCCCCTCTCTGCCCTCACTATGCCACCGCTGTCCCCACAGCCCCACCGCTCCCGGCCTGGGGGCAGCTCCCCACTGCTCGGCCCACCCCACCGCCTTCCCATCCATTCTCCACTGCACCCAAAGGCCACCTCCTTACTGAGCACCCTCTGTGGTCTTCTGTTTCTCTTCGCACACAATCCAAACGCCTCACCCACCGCGCTGAATCTGGTGGTGCCTGGTGCCTGTCAATGTCCCTTGGCGCCAAATTGTACCCCCCCCCCTCCTTCCCCCTCCCCGCAGTCTTGGAGTCCAGGCAGTCACCTTGGAGTGGCGCAGGCAGCCCTATCCCGCCTCACTCCCGACAGGCCGCCTGGAACACAAGGCACCTGTTCGTGCTGTCTGTCCTTGGAGTCGTGCTGTCTGTCCTTGGAGTCGTGCTGTCTGTCCTTGGAGCCCATTCTGACGCAAGGCCGCCCACCCCTTCGTGCGGAGTCCAGCTGTTCCCCACAGAGCTCCAAAGTTGACCTTCTAGAAGCTGCCTGCCAGCGCAGGGCGGCTGGGGTCCAACCCTTAACCTGTCCGGCCACAGGGACACATGCTCAACCGCGGGCACCAGCTAGTTCCTGACGTAAAGTCGGACTCATAGCAACCCCACAGGGCAGGGTAGACCTGTGAGTTCCCGAGACTGTAACTCTGCCTACCTCCGAGTGGTTAGTGGTTTCAAACCGTTAACCTTGAGCTTAGCAGCCCAGCGTGGAACCCTGCCTACAACCACCTGGGCTTGTAGGCCCTGTTTAGCATCTACCTTGTTTCCCCGAAAATAAGACAGTGTCTTATATGAATTTTTGTTCCCAAAGATGCGCTAGGTTTTATTTTCAGGGGATGTCTTAATTTTCCACGAAGAATATGGTACACATTTATTGTTGAACAACAAAAAAGGAAATTTATTACCTGTATACGGTATGGTAGTAGTAGTCATCACAAACCAGTATAACCAGACAAGCTGTGAATCCTACAGTATCAAGAATTTCTTGTTACTACTGCAACAATCCTCAGGAAAGTCCACATACTGCAGCCCCCGGGCTTCCTCAAGCAGCAACGTTGTTCCTGAAAGAGAGCCAGGATTATGAAGTCAGAAACCCAAAAAGGGAGGGTTTTGCAACAAAGAGGAAGACTTTGTGCTTTCTCCACATGGATGCTTGAGTGAACGATCTCGGGGGTAGACTGTATGCTCCAAGACCCACTTAAAAAAATGTTTTATTAGCACTTCACCCACACACCGTACAATTCAAAAATTGAATCATATCAAGAAAAGTTGTGCAATTGTCATCACAATCAATGCTCGGA